TAACTAGTGTTAAGCTTGAAGCAATTTATTGTTCAGTACATAATGCGTGTTATCTTTTAATTAACTAAGTCATCAGTATGTAATTTCGTGAGGTCCGACACCACGACTTTTACTTTAACTGGTTCTCCAGTTGATATCGATCTGTGATGAAGGTGTCTTCAAAATCTTATTGAATAAAAATACTGATTGAACCAAAATGTTTTATATAAAAATTCCATCAATAAGTTTTAAATCCACTCACAGTTGGTTTATGAACTTAACTCATTTATAGGATAAAAATCCGTATACTTGTCTTTGAGACATAGATTTAGTAGGAGAGTTAATGGAATTATCTGACTCTCGAAACCAAAACAAATGGATAAGGTTTAAAATTCATGACATATTAGCTGTTAGTCAAATACTTTCATCACAGGTTCACTTTTTCACTAGTTCACTTATAATATCCATGCGTACAAAACCAAAAAACAGCTGAAAAGGGAATCACGTAGTAAGCAAGTTTATCCTGTAAATATGCAATAAAGTGCAATAAATTTCAACTCACAATTTCCTCATTAATTAATCCTATAAAAATTTATCTGGTTCAGCTCTCAGTATAGTTACAAATTTGTGTGTGATTTACTGTAACGTACTTGTATGTATAACTCCGCCTGGAGCCCCTCTAGGGCTACTGCCCGTCCCGATCCCGGACAAAGGAGGAGGGTTGGGCATGGGGTTATCGCTCCCATCCCGTAGAAAGCTTACCAGAAAAAAAATTATTAAAATCATTTAAACTCTGCCCTGGAAGTTAGGTTTTCATTTAGAAGAGTTATGACGCCCCATGATGAAAGCCGAGTTCCTTCGGAATTCACGAGGCTGATGCCCCTTCCGACAACCAGAGCAACCAATTATTTAGGTACATGAAATGCTCGTACGATGTGGGAGACCGGGAGAGTCTTCCAAATTGCTGCACTTGTATGTATATTATATGTAAATGTTGAATTATGTATAAGGTTTTCATAGGATAATTAATGTATACAAATCAAAATTCATTTAACCATTATATCGATCTGGAGGTTATTCTCATAACGAAAAGATCAAATTTAGAGATAAGTTTTTTTAAAAACAAAAATCAAACCATCTAGATTATCCAACAATTGAACAACATATTTTCCTAGTTTATCTAGATTATAGTAATCCACTAATCAATGAACATTCATAATAATGTATTGAATGATTTACCCTTTTCATACACATACATGATGTGTTAGAGTGAACATAATTACTGAAAAAGTGTAGTACGATGAATTCATGTTAGTCCGTGAATTGTCATCATTCGCCTATGTTTGTATGTACTTTGAAGAAAAACATGAAAAACACTACTTAAAGATCACGTCTGCTGTAAAGTTTCATGCTGCTATGCAACTACCAACTGTCGTCAGACACGCTGTCGAAGAGTCATTCATTCTGACTCGCGTTTTATGCAGTGAATTGACATAAAACCAGTAAATACTTATCATAGGTTGGTATTTTTAATAATCAGCTGTGCATTTTATTAATAATTACTTAAGAAGAGAAGAAAAAAACTAGAGGAATAATTTTCGTATGTTCACTTCACTGGATAATTGTTCTAGATTTAACTAAACAGGTTTATTATTATAAGAAAAGATGGATAGTGGACAGTAGTGAAATCCAGGACGCGCGTTTTGTTTATTTGGAACTCGTCAGCTGGATGTATATGCATCTCAGAGTTGGTTACACTACTAATCACCATCCATCTTTGCTTATAATGCTTGTGACTCAAGGCAATACGCACAGCATGCACATACGCCAATGAGAGACTGATTAATTGAAATCCTAAACATCAATGGGAAGATGTGAACAAAGAATGCAAAAGTGAATTAAGGTTTATTATTAATAATAATGGTGATGAAGAGATGGGAATCAAGGGAAAATTTAGTGCAAAATTTTATAGAAATTCGCGATCGATTGTATCCATAAACTTGGAAGAATTAACAACAGATTGACTAATCGAGTATATCGACAATTGGTAAACTGAGTTGAAATTACACAGAATATTTAAACGCAATTTTTATTGTTGGATAGTAGGAGGTATTTGGTGCAAGGTCATAGATCTAGGTTTCGTGAGAGCTCAAATTTATTATTTAATTAAATATGTATTTCTGATCGATTGGGTTAAATATATCAACCCAAATGACATTAGTATCAACCCGAATACCTTGATGTTGGCACTGCTGAAATAACAATGATGGCATCCGGTCAAACCTACTTGTAAAATCAATTCCCACAAGGATAAGAAAAATACCTAGCTGGTAAATGCGAATCATCACAAAAAATAGTTGCAGTACTCCAACTACCTGCTTCCTCTGAACAACACACACATTATGTCATTCCATCCTACAGAAAACATCTTTTAAACGACATTTTGAATTAGTTGACAAATTAGAACAAAAGACTAGAGACTGGAGGTAATGTTGTCGGTGAAGTATTCAGCAGACCTTCACCGTGTCCAAGTAGTACACCCAACTATTGTAACTGGAACAAAATACTTTTGCTGTTAAACTGAATCAGGCTGATATGGTTTGATGTAAGGAAAAATGTGATACTACAAACGAAGATTTTATTATGCACTAATAATAAGTCCACAACTGATTCAATAGCCAAATTATCACTAACTAATAAACTTCGTTGACTGGTTTAGACATTTTCATATATACATATTAGTGTTTCTGATTGAAAACAATATGTTTTCTTATATGTTGATCGGATTTTGAAGGATTGAACTGGAAGCCGTGAACATAAACCATTAATAATTTAATGTGTATACAATTTACAACGTTAACTGACTAATCATCGTTAACTAACAATTATAGCTAAATTATTGGGTAATATATCTGCTCCTTGCAAACATCTACTTCACGATCATTCAGTTTGAACAACTAGAAATAAAGACAAGTTCAGTAATTTTTCCTTTTACATGTAAAACTATCAGTTTAGCTGATCCAGACGTGCTATGAGGATCATTAACAAAATCCGTACAACTACTATTTCAAGTTGCGAACTCCTAGCTTCGAGTATAGAGAAAAGACAATTAAGTCAATTTAATTTACTATACACAGATAACCCAAGTAAAGCTTTTTGAGTTATTTAAAGGAGGCCATGTATTTCACTGTATGGTTTCTATATATGTATACTGAATCAATTTTAGCAAGCTAAATCTTTGAGTTAAACAAAAATTAAACCATAAGTCTTCACGATCTCCGCCAAGAATATTGATTAACCTTTCATCTAATACTTCATTCAATAAACTATATAGTTAATATAAACTTGTCATTCACTTCAATTTTCAGCTATCGCTCCTATTTTCCAACGTAACTGCTGATAACACTATCATCATTTGTAGGCTGCCTGACTGTAAAATGGTAAGCATTAAATGATTTATTAAAGAACACTTCTGAATAACATAACTATGTTGTATGACTTTATCTTGAATTTATTTCTTTTACCATTAATGATACAAATAACTCTGAATTCGTAATATTGTTGTGTATTGATTTCAGGTGGCTAGAGGTAGTCGGTGCTTGTCAGTAGAGTATATCTGTAATCTTAGAGGAACCAGTGCTCCCTAACGGATCTGAATGTGGATCACCTAGTTTAATAGTCTGAAATGTTAACACTAAGCCATCTGAGTGGTGAGTGATTTCCTGTAGAACTGAGATATTTACACTGATTGATCACAGTAATGACCAATGTCAAGTTTATCTAGTCCTTTAGTACTGATCAAATTGTAGTGCGGTCACCGATCTATATAACTCAAGATCACATGTACCGCTATGTAATTTATCCCCTAATATGAATGATAGTGGATTTAGTAGAATGATAAAATCTATAAGTTACACTCAAGTCATTATAATAAGCAAGTTGAAAACAGGTAATTATTCATATGCCATTCTATCGTTTTAAGTTTCTGCATAGACATTAAAACAACCATATTTAATTCGTCTTTCATGACAAAAATACAAATAATCCATATTTCTGAATAGATTAATTTTAAGTGAGTGATAACAATAACTCATTGGTTTACTAAAATGGTTATTACTACTTAAATTTCAATAATTAAGTAGTCCTTACTCTTGACTATATATATATATATATATATATATATATATATATATATATCTTTTGTAGAAAATAAATGGTTTTGGAAAAGAAACTGTAGTAAGACTTAACTCAAGAAAACACTATCATTTAATCCTAGAATCAAATTCAGAGTTTATATATGTCATATGGAACTACTGAATAGATTGTTTATGGTTAACATTCATTACGTGGGAGTTTACAAAGTTTTCTTATATCAGATGAGTTATTATCTTTTAAAACGTTTGCTGAACAATAGTTGAATAAGTCACACTGTATCAAAAGATAGTTTAGATATTAGTATAGAAATGGTGCAAAGATTCGTAAGTTTAAAGTTAGACATCACGGATTGTCATTGGTAGGAGAGTCAATGTAAATCAGATAGAGAGTTCTTAACTGTTTTTTGTCCTATTCTGATACTAAATAGAAGTGTGAAACCTTCATTGAACGTTAAATCGATCTGACGACCTTTGAATACTCATGAGAAACAATTCAAATTATCTTCACTTCTTAATTCAGTTAATTAATAAACTGAGTAAACATAATTAACTAATGTCATCTTAGATAACTATTTCGTACCTGACATAGTTGAATGCTACCATCTACTGTTTTTCACTTGAGACTTAAAATCAGCCTACTCACTGGAAGATCTGAAAATGTTAAGTTTGATAAAAAAAAACAGAATTGTGAGTGAGCTCTGTTGCATAGTGGTAACCTAGCAGGTTCCTGTTCCTGGATTTTCAGTCGGTTAGTTCATAATGTGGACAACTACGAAACGTTTACTTAAACTAATCTTTGTCTACTTATTCTATCAACAAATCATTGTAATTTCAGAATAAACATTTTTTTTTATAAAAAAAACTTACTAGTCATTGTTGTAAACGCCAAGTTCGATTCCATTGAATCACTATTTCCATTCACTGTAGGATCAAGCCAATATATACATGAATATTCAGCAAGACGATTAGCACAATAAGTTAATAGATCTTTTTCAAAATAACCAGTTCTTAAAAATTGAAATAAACTCATATTTAATGTTAGAGGTTTGATAATTTGTGGACCATCTTGAGCCATATTTATACCACCAGCTTTAATTCGTGCACTTCCTCTGACCATTTTATTTCAGATAAAATTATTTATAATTATATTATGCAATATGAGTAAAAAGATAATTCCTCTAATTTAATTTTCATAAACGAAGTTCTATCATGTTCATCTTCAACTGTCGAATAATTTTTTTTTTACTCTTTAATCAAAAAGTATATTTTCATATTGAATGATCAAACTACTTAAATCATCTTCAACTTAAATTTTGATTGGTTAATAAATTGGTTTTTTTGTTTTCGAAAAGGGTTTAGATAGACAAACACACACACATTCAACATATAAGATCTAAATTTTTGTGTTTGTTTTCTATGCTTCGATTTTTAACTGACCAATTAGAAAGTTCTACTAGCAATGAGACATCATAGTAATCAGAACTTTTACTCAAATGTGGTTATCTTTAAATCATAATCAGAAAATTAGTTTATTTAAATGAAATTCTATTAAAATCTAACAGAAGATCATTTGAACTATCATAAAATAAAAGGATGATTATTATTAGAAGGGGATTTGAAGCTAGACGACCATGGAAAATTTGAAAGTACTAGACTGTCGTTTCGTCCTAGTATGCACATTGCTGAGGAGTCCTATACTAGGATGAAATGGCCGCCCAGTTCTTCCATGTTTTTCACTGGTCTAGCTTCAACTGACTCATAATCTCAACTATAAAATTAATAAAAGGATAAGTTAAAATGATCATTGTTAAAAATAAAATTATAAAAGGTCTAATTAGAAGTTGAAATTCTTTTCCTTTATATCTACCATGATAATAAACTGTATTCCTAATGTGATTGATAACACTAAATTTTAGTTTACATATAGTACCGATTTTCGTTGCCGTACCAAAACAGAAGGAAAGAGTTAGAAGAAGGTGACTTTAAAATAATAGCAGTAAGGTCTGAAACTAATATATTTAGAACTACCGACAAAAGAACCCAGTGTGACTGGCCAATAACAGAAAATCCGAAAGATGGAGATATATGTTGTTGACTTCCCATTGTTTTTATATGTCCCTTCACTGAATCCAACTCAGATGGAGTGAAGATGAGTTTTACAAGAAGATTTCCTACCTCCTCTAAATAACCAAGTGCTTAGATATAATAATCCCGGTAAGTAATCTCAACAACCGAGTTGATAAGCCAAATCAAGCTAAGAACGATTAGATGGGTCTTTTAGCATCCCGGCACATAAAATGGTGACCAACTTCAGAACTAGCATTTCTATGAGTTCTACTGGACATAAAAATATTACGACAGAATGGTCTCTTAGATACTAAATCGAAGAGGTGAAGGTCGAGAATGAACTCAGTGATGAATCAACCAAGCATTCAGTCCAGTAGTGGGTGACGAAAGAAAAATACAATACGTTACACCAGACAAATGTTTAAACTCATCAATGGAAATGTAATTAGGAATTCAGGTATTAGCGAGACCGTTTTGGAGGAAGATAGAGCAATTATCCATTCTCAATCCAAGGAACTTAAAGGATTGATAGGACATTAAGGAATAGCCGAACTATGTGTTACATGCTATCTCGAAACGACCTAAATAGGGATTCGACACAAGTTCACAACTCTTAGTGAAGATAGAGACCATATCTAACTTGAATTCAGGAAATGTAGCAGAATCTGATACACTGACTCCATTTGTCTTTGAGAATGTCGGTCCAGTTTTAGTAGTATAGATAGAGCTTGAGAGAATCTCGGACAATAAGTCTCAGGATCGAACTCCTCTTCACCTACTTCCGTTTGGACAACCTAGTAATATCACCAGCTCTCACACAGTGTGGCTTATACGCAAGTACTGGTGAATGAGTTAATTAAATCTCTGACAGTCCTAGTTTTTAAGAAAGCATTAAAATTCACTTATGACAATGATAGAGAAAATCCATTTGACTAATATAGTGCCTAAAATATCAGCTTCTATAATTATCTAATGCTTGGGAAAACCAATCTGCTCTCTGTCCTGGACGTGGATTTACTGATCAAATATTCAGCCTTCCTCAGCTTCTAGAATACAAGGATACTTACCGGCTTACAACTACGATTGTATTTTTGACCCTAAGACGGAATTTGACTTCGTTAACTAAGAGGTTTTGTGACAGTGTTGTCATTAAAAAGTGTACCAAAGAAATATATCAATCTTGTAAAGGCTCTCTACTATAACACTATTGGTTAAAATTTAGCCTATGGAAAACTATCATCAGAATTGATAATATAAAGTGACATTCTCCAGGACAGTCCTCTATCCCTCTTAATTTGATTCCAACATAGATGTCCTCATAGAAGGATTAATTTCTTCTCTACTGATACGGATATCAGTAGAATAAGGCTCCAACAAGTACGGGACTAAAACGAAAATTTCTCCCTCGACTCTAGCTAAAGTTCAGAAAGATATAACTAATCTAAAACGAGGAAGAGCAGCTAATCCAAATAGATTGGTTCCAGAGGGTTTTAAGGATGGTGGTCTAGTTTGAGTTATTAGGTTAACTAACATTTTTACTGAAATCTGGGAGTTGGACGTAATCTCATCTGACTGATCGCAATCAATAATTTCCCCAATATATAAGGTTCAAAATCATCCTGTGATAACCATAGAGGGATTAATTTGACTAACATAACATCTAAAATAATAGCATTAGTAATTTTCGGGCGCCTAACAAAGATTCGTGAACTGCAAACATGAGAAAAACACACTGGCTTCAGACCTGGTCGTGACTGCATCGACCACATATTCCCAATTCGTCAGTTTTTAGAACACAGACATGCTTATCGACGTCCGACAATGGTGGTCTTTCTTGACTTAATAACGGCATTTGACTCTGTAGACCAGAAGGTTCTGTGGCAGTGCGTCATTGAAAGGCGTACTTCAGAAGTATATAAACCTTGTGAAGTCTCTTTATTTGAACACTACCAGTCGAATCAGAGTTTATGTCGAACTGTCATCTGATTTTGCAGCCTCAAGTGGTGTCCGTCAAGGCTATCCACTATCTACCTTTTCGTTCAACTTCATCAAAGAACTACAGATGGAAATAATGTCCTCGTTGACTGGATTTTAGGGCATCGATCTTCTACCAGAGGTCCACTTATCGACTTAGAATACACAGATGACATAGTCCTGTTTGGTGAGAACGCTGACACAATGCAGTCTTTTGATAGCACTGAGCAACAATGCCAGGATGTTTGGGATGCGCTGCTCTCACTCTAAATGCAAGCTGTTGCTTCAGAACTGGTCTACGTCAACACTTGGACTAAGGATAGGGAGTGAAGTAGTAGGACGCGTCGACGACTTCACTTATCTCGGATGTTTGGTCAGCCCTAAAAGGTTGGTGTCTGACAAAATCTCTGCACGTATCCAGAAAGCTCGTTTGGCTTTCGTGAACCAACGTCACCTACGGCGAGGGCGAGATATCCGTCTATCAATTAAGGAACGAGTAAAATGAGTAGCGGCACGTTCTGTTCCACTTTACGGCTGCGAAACGTGGACATTAAGAGTACAAGATACTCGTTAGCTACTAGTATTTGACAACAGATGTCTTAGAAATATTGCACGCATCTACTGGGATCACCGGGTAAGTAATAGTGAGGTTAGACGCAAAGTATTAGGGAATGATGGTAAATCAGTTGATGAGGTTGTGAATCTTCATCGACTGAGATGGTTGGGCTGTGTTGTGTATGCCTGAACACTGATTACCACGACGCGCAATGCTAACTGGTGTTGGGGATGGTTGGAAGAAATTTAAGGGCGGCCAAACCAAAACGTGGCATCAGTCATTAAAGTCACTAACTTCTAGTCTTATCCATGTTGGTAGATGCAGACTAACTGGTTGGGGTCTGCACCACTATCGTAACCAATGGTTGGAGACTGTGGGTGACATGGCTCAGAATCGATCACAGTGACGAAGGTATATACACTCTCTGTCTTCCCCTAAACTATGAGATTAGAGTTACTTCATATCTTTCTCTCTACGAACTAATTCTTCCTTTCTCTACTATATCCTTACATCAAATCTTTCCTTTATTTATTACGCCATTGAGTTCACTGCTTCTTTGCATCCGGTGTTCGTCTTGCTGCGCTAATGAGGTATGGCAACTTGGACCAATTTATGTATGTGCCTGGTCCTACGTTGTAACTGACTGACCAAACAATATGCTAACTAAGTTCTCTGACGTTCATTGGTTGATTCAAATCTTTGCTATCTCCAACCTACCCAACCAGAACATAGGAAAGCTAGTCGACCTTCTTTGCAGTCCTATGAATCATGATACTATGCATCGATGGTGGTGCAATAAGCATTTTCTCCTCATTACCCATACAGTTCTTTCACATGTTCTCAACCATTTAGTTCGACATTATTATTGTTTATATAATGAATATGTGATTAGATCGTTCAAAGATATGTTGTGCTAATAAACATTATATTCTTCTGCTGAAATCCATCTTCTCATTCCACCACTTAGACAATTAAATCCACTTTTTGCAATCAACGAGCGAAACCATTCTACGCTTCAGTGATCACGTGTTAAAGAAATTCCTCACCACGAAATGACATCAACCGCAGAACTGTTGAAAACTAAGAAGTAAGAAAGAAAGATTAGTTCAGCGAAGAGTTCTCTTTTCGGTGAATTCATTTTCAAAGCTGTACAATCGCAAATATATATACTTATTTTTACAGGGTGATAATAATACTGATAATAAACTTATGATATACATGGTGACAGTGAGGTTAAATAAACAAAGGTATTAGAAAAATTTTTTTTAAAACAAGGAAAGTTTGATAGTTAATGGCTTAGATATTCATCGGGTAAGAGTAGCTCAGCATGATAAAATAACATAAAATGTTGAAACAGAGATGAAATGTAATCGGAATGATCGTTGAAATAAAAACAAACCGGTTGGGGGTACAAGATTTGAAGGGAAGATGGAAGGTGAAGCAAGTGGCTGTAAAAGAACAAGAGTAATGAGAAAGAGAAAAAATTTTAATACATTAAGACCATGGTAAAAGAAGAGGTTGTACCAGTCTCTTTTGTACACATAATTCTGGTTTTTCAAAATGTATGGCTATTGCCTCGGCAATGCAAAGGAGATGTAGTCTAATTGTCTTAGGAAGGCTTCTACTTACCTTGTAGATGACTTTGAACGCAGAGTCTGTCTTGATTGAGTGACCTGTGTTCACAAGGTGTTCGATTATAGAACCTCTTATTGAGCCGCTGCCTCCTCTTCTTAGCCACGCCGGACAATGTTCTTGAATTCTTTTGGATAAAGTACGCATCGAACGACCTATATACCTAGCTCCACAAGAGCAGGTAAATTGATAAATGCACATTGAATTGGTCAGATGCGATAATTTATCTTTCAGATTATTGGTGAACAGTGATCGGCTGGAGAATAATATTCGCAATGTTGCTGCAAAGAATGTTCTTTTTAAAGAATCTGAAATTCTCCTCTTTAAGATATATGCGGCTCTATCACCTTTGAAGTCGATGTTCATGTATAAAATTTTCTTTTCTACTGCAGTTGTTTGTGGTCTTGGCATTTTTGGTTTCATGTTCTTATCAATGAATATAGAAGGATATCCGTTTTTGATAAGTATCTCTTTTAAAAAACTCAATTCTTCCTCTACGACCTCGGGGCTACAGATTCTTCGTATTCTTGTGGCGAGAGTTATTATTAAGTTTCTTTTTCGGCTGATGGGAACCCAACTGTGGAAATTTGATAGTTGGCCATTCCACATGGGTTTCCTGTAGATAGATCTTTTTAAAGTACCATCTTGTTTCCTTGTTATATCTACATCAAGGAAGTGAATATTTTGTTTGCTTTCAACTTCAATTGTGAATTTTATTGATGGGTGACAATTATCAAATGTATTTAGGAGATCACTTAAGTTACATTTGTTATCACAAATGATAAAGATATCATCCATATACCTTTTATATAAGTGGAGGTTTTCTATAATTCTTTTAAGTTGGTTGTTTTCTAAACTGGCCATGAAGCAATCTGCCAGTAATGGACCAAGTGGGGATCCCATTGCTATACGATCCTTCTGTCTATGAATTACGTCGTTGAATGTGAACTGTACATTGCAAGTACAACGTAGTAATAATTCCTTCAAATAAACCTCAGGTATCCCAATGTTTATCTCAGTATTGTTTATGTACTTGCAGATAAAATTAATGGCTTCTGTAATTCATGTAAACACGACTGCAGACGTTCAATTTTAACGAGATAAGATTAACAAGATGAAAAGTAAAAGACTGTAATCTCATTTGTAGTGGATGTGAGTAGTACTTGTTTCAACCAACTTAATCGGTGACTTAAAAAATTATTAGCTAGTTTACAATCCACAGATATACTCTCTGTATCGATTTATTATATACGAGTAATGCCTCGAAGATACTCATAATCAAGAAATTACAACTTACACAACTCTTGTTTTCATGTAATGTATTTCACAATAAACTCCTGAGCAGTATATCCAGTTTTTGACAAGCATACAGGCGATAACAGTTCAATAATTTGATTCTTTATTAAATGAGTGTGAAGTCATTAACTTCTCGTCTGAGCTATGTTGGTAGATGCAGACTAATTGGTTGGGGTCTGCACGACTATCGCAACCAATGGTTGGAGATTCTGGGTGACATGGCTCAGAATCGATCACAATGACATAGGTGTATACACTCTTTGTATTCCCTTAAACCGTGAGATTACAATTACAATATACCTTTCTTTCTAATTCGTTTTCCCTGTACTAAACACTTATACACAATCTTTCTTACATATAATACTACCGTTGCAGTAACTACTTTTCTGAATTTGATGATCATCTTGTTGTGCTAATGAGGTATAGCAACTTGGACTGATGCATATAGGTGCCTAGTAATACGTTGTAGCTGACTGACTGACAAATCCCGTTTTAGAAACGTAATAATTAGACATGTGTTACAAGTGTACGGATGGGATTTCGATTACTCAAGTATAACATAAGTGTACACAAATAACAACACAGACGAATTCAGATAAAAGTCAAATCAATACTAACAGGCTATTAATGCGAATCGACTACAAAACGGTATTCTCCTTTCATAACAAGTCCTCGAAAATGAGGAAAATGATGTGAAGTAAAACTTGGAGCTAATCTCAATGGCACTGACCAACACATAAACAATTTAACAATCAGCTACACAACTTTGGTCGATCAACCACAGTCGATCATACACAGTCTATTATCAATATTATAAGTGACTAATCAAAGTAATATGTTACTAGTTACTTAGCTACTTAGCAAATTTTACAGGTCAGTCATATTTAATGATTATTAATTAAGTTAAGAGAAAAAAATCTCAGTGGTCTAAGAAATCGATTTTTAAAAGGAACACACCCAATGTTTGAAGCAGTTCTCTTTGAGTAGCCAAGGGGTCAGTAACTCTTACAGCACAAGAGATGTAACTCACAGCCTAATTAGATGAGGCTGTATGTGATAACAGAACCGGATTGACTACAGATCATCTTGACGAAGCAAACGTGGGAAGAATTCAAAGTTTGGAGAGATGACAGAATTGAATGGTTGAACTGATCAATAGCAACTCAATAACACCAGAGTTAGACAAATACTCATATGCACAAATAGAATTTAACGTCAATTAATTATTTATTTACATGTAATAATCGGTACATCACTTTAATTATTCTTTTAGTTTTTTTCCTTTTTGTTCTTCATACACTTAGTTGTGTTCTCCTCAGATATGTTATGTTTTCGTTTTTTGCTGATGTTAATATCGTTTGTCAAATTATTATAATTAATAGGCAAGTCAATAAATTTCTTGGCCCATATAGACAATAAATTTACCAATGAATAATCATTATATACAAGAGGTAGATCAGATGGTTTACTACAAACTAAATCAGTAAGTTGACCGCCGTTTGCATGTTGAGTTAAACCATCCAACAAATCGGAATTGAATATTGATTGGACTAATGTAACTCGATCTTTTGAATTGATTGTTTGGATGAAATGTGGACGCCATCGTAGAGCTATCCAATTTCCGCCATGACGATCCCAACGGATTTCAAAAAACCTGCCTAGACGTAACTTGACGAGGCAAACAAATAGTATAAAACATGATCGAAAATATTGGACTTTCAGCGTCAAAATAATCGTATTTCCTTAAAATACCGAATTATGTTGAAAGATAAAATACTTTGTAAGTTCGTTTTACTAGCAAATAATCATACACAACAGTTTAAGGTACTAGAACCCAAATAGGAATAGAAATCGAAGGAGTTGCTGAACTGATTAGGTTTTTACTATCCTGCTGTTAATATTAAGGAAAGAAAAGGATCAGTTTCTTTTGGCATATGTGGATACTGAGCAGACTGTGATATCATGGGCAAGAGCTAAGTCTAATAGTTACGTTTCAATTCATTGGAAAGTAAGCGGCCTACAAAGGTGATGTTGACCAACGATTCTTGACATCTGATTATCTTTATTTTTTTTTCAGACAAAAAGCTTATTCTTCCAGTTAGTAATTGTCTTTGATATTGTTTCATTCGAAGGTTTCAATCAGTAACATGGTCTCATAAGCAGTCATTACTTGACCACTTTAAATAAATGTTTTATTTACCAATCTGCAATCCGCTCACTCAATGTAACAAATTAAAACCCGATCATAAAATCCTCCTTGATAACAGATTGCTTCAACATTACTTCGTAGACATAATTTATTAATATATTAAGATTGTGGCTAACGATGGAAATCAGAATTCCCTACCCATTCCATACGGGATGTACCTGCACCTTTATATTGACGACATTCACGCTAAAGGCTCGAACTCAGTACCCACCACTTTAAACAGTTAAGTTACCACTAAGATTTTCAGTCCAAGTGGCTAGTAACTTATTCGCTTAGTATGAAGTTATTTGTGAAGGCTTGTAATTCCCCAGTACTTATTGCTTCAGTGTTAACACAAACCTTAAGATACAGCTACATCCAGATGAAGATTCTTGGATGAGAGGAAACCCATGTTCTGGATTCCATTGCTAGCCACAATCCAAATAAACTAAAAGGTGATTAATTTCTTAAGTGAAAGTGATTACATTATTAGGTGCATGAATTGTAGTGTTGTAAATCTGTTACTACAAACTAACTGTGTAACGTTGAATCTGAATTTTTCTGCACAGTAGTTTTGCAATTTAACAGAGATGAATATCAATGAAAATAACGCTAATTTCTAACCAGGATTATAGGTAAACAAGTGACCACTTCTAATCGATAAGCTATATTATTTTACCTCTAGGCTTACAGAAAGACGATGGCGTATCCGATTCAAATGTCAAGCTTTTTGAACACTACTGGATGAAAACCAGTCAGAAGAACAAAACATTAAAAAGCAAATACACAAAGATCAAACCTGGATTGTCCGTCACTAATTACCGATTTCTATATATTGTGAACCATAACTATTAAACATGCAGTTCCCTTATATAAAATAGATGAACTCTTAGTAACTTTATGCATGAATGCTGTTTGTAAGAATATCTCAAAAGACTTTTCTAAATAACGGAAAATCGTATGATAAAGTATACGACAGGTGTGTGTGAACACCGCGCAACTTAATTAGTTCAGTTTTGGAAGTTTCGAACTTACATTTAATGATGCATCAACCTCAAAAAATCTACATCATGAATTTTAACATACACATGAGAAATAATGTGAAACTGTAGATAATCAGACTCGAGTGATAATCAGTTGACACGATCAAATATTACGGTTAGTACAAATGTTGTTGCCTAAATTCCTATTGACTAAAAAATCTAATAATGATGGCAAAGATTTTCAGCAAATTCATAGAACAAATTAGAATAAGCCCGATTTTCGGTCCTTAGACGTTGAGAACAGTACGCTCAACCCAGTGGTTAGAATCCTAGACCACAATAAACTAACAGCATACGCAAAGCGACGTAGCTACATTTCGTGTACCACTGCTACCACAAAACTGTAGACTTACTCCATCCAGATTCCAAATCTTTACTAAAGTGTCCTTAGATTATGTATAAATCCATGTTTCAGAGAAAAAGACTAACAATTAGGAAACTCCGACACTTCAAAACAAGGGACATTCATCAACCGGGTTTTCGCTTGTTGTCGAACTTAAGACCTAATGGATTACTGACGATGAGATGTTTAACGCTTTTAATAAATAATTCACTGCTAATAACTCAGCATTTTTAAACTTTACTAGTTTGAAATGACAGAATTTAGACAACCTTAACTAAATAACAAGTCAAATCAGGTAATAACATTATTGCTTACTCGCAATAATTTGACAAACCAATTCAGTGGATCATAACAGTATCTTTGTGGCCAATAACGGGCTCCAGGATCTGGGAATTCCATAGGTACGTCACTATCATTATTAGTTTCAGGAACAGCAAGCTGCGTTTTTTTCAACGCTCCATGTAACGATTCTGACTGACGAATATTTACAATATTTGCTTTGACATTGAGTACTATATCAGTTTTACTAAAGACCGGACGAAAAATGACCTGGATCAATAAGAAATTAAATTCAATCAATGATTTGAACTTGCAGTCATCTTGAAAATTACCATAAATTACAAGTTTGTGTTTGATTCCTTGGAGTGAATCCTGCATTATGGTTAAAAAATGTTGTTTGGCAACTTTAACCTACTATTCAAGTCCTACTTTGTAGGACTTGCATCATAATACGGTGCCCAGATCAACTACCGGACGCATACTGTAAATATATATCCCTGAACATCTGAAACTACCGAATAACTACTAATGCACAACATAAGTCAATCACTCGTACTTTATTGATTCACCTTTCTAGATCAGCTGGCGTTATGTAACATACCCCAGTGAACGTCGATTTACGGAAAAACACTTTGCAATCTAGTTGTGCCAGTAAACACAGATAATTAGCACATACAGTGCGAGGCTTTTGTGTTGTTGGAGCTATACGAGGGCTGTCCATTTTGATCCAAAATTTCCATGAATGTGAATGTCTGATGTAGTATATATTTGCACTTCAAATGGATGCCCATTAATATTAAGGGTAATAAATTTTATTTCACCTGGGGTTGAGCTTTGACAGGATGCTAATAGGCTCAACGAATTTGTGTAGGATATGGAAAAAGGCTTTCTAGTACTTATGGACCGATTTAGTTTCCTCTTTTGACAAAATCCATCTTTTTAGCCAACAGATTTACATTTTCCGCAACGATATTGTTTAAACGGACAGGCTCGTACATAATGCCTTGAACCACAGTGCCAGCAGGGAGCAGGACGATTAGTCTTTGTCCGTTGGACTGAGCTCAGGTGAGATGGGATAGAAATAGCAGGGGCAAACTTGACTGTATTGGATAATTGCTGAACTACATGAATTTCCGAGCGATCGGAACCACCACACTGAACCATCGTAGTGTCGCGTTGCAGATTAATTAAACGTTGATATTGATTTGTAATATCAGTAAGAGTTAGTTTGGGGTGTTGATCCAATCGGCACAGTAACCGTGTTCTAATATCACTGAAGTTTTAAGATTGGAGACTACATATGAGGATGAGGGCTTTAAACTGGTCTTCAGTCAGTAACTTCAGTCCGAAGCGTTCGCACTCGCGGTTGACGATGCCCATATACGTAAGAAAATCAGCGTCTCCATTCATAACCAGCTTCAATCATAGATAACATGTGTTGGACAATGAGGAGTTATCTGCAAACTGTTGGCTTAATGACTGGACGGTATACGAGAATGAGTGGTCACGTAGGTTCAGAGGCGAAATCAAAATACAGTCATAAGTCGTTTACCAAATGATTTCTGGGGATCTAGCATCCCCAACAAATCTACAACCTGATAATTAATAATCAAAGTCCCAAATTACTGAGCACAGACCACCATTCGGTTGACTTATCGCTAATTTCGTCGAAATCAAAACTAACAAAGAACACTGGAATCATTCACCACGATCGTTATCAAAACATAAAATAATAATAGAAGGTTACTACTTACCAGTAGATCATTAATCGGAGCATTACTAACAAGCATAGCTCTTAGTAAATCACGTGACTGACTCGCTAGCAATTTCAAATCACTTAGACCTCCTCGACTTGGTCCTACTTCAGTCCATTCTGTTCCAGTTGCGTCAAGTGGAGTACATATGATTAAAGCGGGTAAATTACATCGAGGTGTACGATTAAATAAATCCAGAGCTAGTTGACGTTTGTTGATATCCACTTGGGAGATAAAAGATTGAAAAAAAAGAACCACACTAATTAAAGAAAAGTGAAAACGCAGTGAAAAACAACTTACAAAAACGGGGATAAAACAGGTGACAAAATTTTACATTATAAGAGTTATGCTACAATAAATCTGGCCATTACAATACGGTATCGATCCGAATTTACTAGTTTGTCAGAAGCATTGACTACTCAATACTAAACTACCAGTGCATGTAAGACATGAAGTGTGAAAAGTAGTAGATCTGAATAATATCAAAAGCTACATATTTTTAAGTGCTACAGCTGATGCCCCCAAATGCCCTAGTATGGCCGCGAGTGGAGTGGGCCCGCCCTCCCTCTCAAAATGCTCTCACACGGCCACGCGTATATAGCCTCTGCCAATGAAGTCCTACTCACTGCCTTCTCGTGGCGGGGGTGTTGTTTACGAAAATGAGAGGACGAAAGCGAATGTCCGGCGCTTTAACCGGACCCCAAACCAATGGTGCACATGGGCCCAGTATCCTGTGGGAACAAATGGCGTATGAACCAATCGTTGGTCACCGGCTATCATGGGACTGCATCTCCTCACGATGCTCCACTGCCTTGTGGTTCAGACCTTTAGGTTCAAGGCCCATGGTGTGGCCCCCTAAGTAAACCACCTGCTTCGGTTTGGGCACCCAGGCAGTATCCCAGCCCTCACACAAATCGAATGACTTATGTGGCGCATATCTATTCGGTGCCTCCTTGTACCAATGTTTGTGTGTTTAAATAAATAAATGAATAACTTTATGTGCTATAACTGATAAATTTCCTTTAAAAAAGTAAAGAAACAACTTATTGAGTTATTAAATAAAATAAAGTTTTCAACGAAAAGGATTTTATTTTCGACGATATCACTTACTATAGGCCCACACACTCATTTGGAGTCACTTTCTAAATAGAGTGGTCCATAATAAAAAAAGAGAATTATTGAGTTGCTAGCAAAAGTACTAAAAGTTAGTCAGAATTTAAAGTTAGGTAGTACCCAAATGGTAGTCAAAATGAAATAAAATATGAAAGATTAAGAAATGGTATCATCGAAAAGGAACTTCTCGCTGAAACATCTTATTCGAAGACATAATTTACAGTTTTAACTTGGCGTCTACTTTATGACTGATTAAATAACAAAAAAGACGAATTCTAGTAATTTTGGAGATAAGTGGCTTAGAATGAGACCTATCTGATGTCGAAAAACGTAAACAATTGGATTATAGTGCAAAGGCTCAATATGAAACACTATAGTCAATTCCCAGACATCCGAAGACTACAACAATACAAACTGATAATGTTTGAATTGGGATCGATTTATGTGGTCGTGACCTAGATTATGAATCTAAACATATTGCTACATACCACCGTTTGGACAGCAGAATTTTGTTATGAACCTTGATAAAACCTTGTGGATATCATCCATTAGATAATGTAATACAGTTGATTTTGTAAAAACAGTAAACAAATTATTCTTTTTGTAAGACAGGAGAACTGTTTGTAATATCAAACAGTACATACATTTTTAACTATGGGAAACTGACTACCTTTATGCTAAAACTCCGAAAATTAAGAAGGAAAAGCATGAAAAAAATGTAGTGAAAACCAACCAGAAAATCCCTCATTTAAATCAACTAGAAGTGGAGCGTTTTCCCAATCATAAGTAGCCAATAAATCAAGAAATCGTAGGAATGCAGCAACAGGTGATCCGATCGAAGTAAGATTAGCTTCCTTCGACTCGGAATCAACAGAATCACATAGCTTCGAAGCATAAAGAACTAATAATTCAACAGCCACTTCAGTCATACGTCCATCATTGGTACTTGTATTAAAATCTTTTAACCACCAAGTAGATAGTGCAGACGAACATTGTTCAGATTGTGGAAAAAAATCTGATGAATTATGTAGACCATCTAGTTCCGCTTCATATGGACATAGAATCACTGGATACCCTTGAGCTGATAACCAACGTTTAGCTAATCGACATGCTATAGGAAACACATGTGCATACGTACGTGAAACACCACTAAGTGTACCAGCTAATGTTGGTAAACTTTGATTCAGACGAATCCAACAAGCAGCTTCGGAATTTATTTCAATAGATAATGAACTACCATCACCAGTCTCCGAAAGTGTTTTATTTTTATTATCTGTTTTGATTTCAGAATTACTTAATTTCTGAATTAAATTAAGTTCTTTTGATTGTGAAATTACGATTCGGAATACTAGTCCTTGCTAAAAATAAACAAATAGAAAATTTTATTTGTCATGAAATTGTTACGAAGTCTATGCTACGTTTAAAGAGTAATCTAAAGCGATAAATATTTATATACGTGGAAAATTATGTACGCATCAAATAAAAACCAGGTATACAAAATGCTTTCTGTTGAATCTAGTAAATATGAAGCTATAGTTACTTTGAAAGTAGTTTTCATTATAGAACAAGTAGAGAGTAAATGAAAAGATGACACAGCTGAAAAATAAATCTGTATGGAGATTTGTAGCGCAGGTATATGATTTTGGTGGAGTTTTCTTCCCTAAACAGGATGGTTTTGTCATGGAGCTTTCATTGTTATGCTGAACGACATCAACACCTACAATCTGATTAACGTCTTTGATAATGGAACAGGAGTCAAACAACAAAATACCATTCTTGAATGTATTAATTACCAGAACCGACACAGGAAAACTGGAGACTCAAGTATATTGGAAGCCAACACACACAGATCAAATTCTCAATTACAGTAGCAACAACCCAAGAGATCACAAAATCAACTGAGTACAAACTTTGTTCAAGAGGGTGAGGACACACTGCAACACACTTGCAGCGCGGAAAAATGAAGAAAGATATCTAACGACTGACTTTCAAAAGGACGGTTACCCAATCAACTTCATCAAAAAAATGCTGACCAAACGCATCAGCAGAAACAAAACCAAGTAGAGAAACTAACAAACAGATCATCCTATCATATGTAAAAGGCATATCAGAAATTACGAGATTGTTAAAGCCTTTTGGGATAGGTGTAGCACACAAACCAACGAAATCACTCCAATCGATCCTACGCAAACTAAAGAACGAAATGACAAAAGAAGAAAGACCGAACATCCTCTACAAAATAAATTGTTCGAACTGCGTAAAACACTACATCGGATAAAGTGGACTGGGAAAATGTTGAGATCTTGGATAGAATCAACTCTAAAAACACCAGGGAATTTTTAGAAGCTTGGCACTCAGTTCAACCAGCCATCAATAAGCACATTGAAGTCTATCCAATTTATCAACCAATCAGAAAAATTATGAAGAGTCAAATCAACGGGAGATACAATCAAAATAAAAAAGTAAGCAATGGCAGGTTAATGGTCAACAATAACCAGTCAAGACCGAAGTCTACAGGACAAGCTGTGAGCCATATGTAGAGAAACTCGTGCACTTCACTTCAACCCAAAGTTTGTGCTGATGATGTCGTTCAGAATAACAATGAAAGCTCCATGACCAAACCATCCAGCTCAGAGAACAAAACCAGTGTAGTATTCTTTTAATGAAATGGAAACAACCCAATCGAATTTCTCTTTATTTACTGCTGTTTATGGGTTGTCACATAGTATTATATGACTGTTACACAGAAATTGTGACTTATAGCAGTGTTAGTATGACAGAGCTTCAAGTTATCAATGGTGCTTACCACCACATTTAATTACGCGTATGATGCTTAGGAAATGGCAGAAATCGATTGGACTCTATCACTAAAATAATGAGTACCTAGTTTATTTTGCATTACAGAGACCGTTGGTCATGAAGTGTTGCCGAGATGACCTTTTTACATAGAAGGATCATGTGGTAAAACTCTTTTAGCCCCGATAAAAATATTTTTCATGGGATGGATTCACTGATTAATGAATTTCATTTCTTGCCGATCCATTAATTAGTACTTACTGAGCTGATTATGTTCTATATTGTTCAGTTAAGTAACTAAAAACTTTTTGCAGTGGTCACTACTAATTATGGCTTCGTTTTCCATACTATATCCCAATAGATTTATACATCATTTTGAACTTGCGTCTCAACTTCATGAAGATCTTTTCTTCTAACCACATTATTATTTGTAATTTCAAGATGTTACTTGAAACAATAACGCGGCTTACATAAATAAGTGTAATTACAATCGTTGAATAGACAGGGAATAGATTTATGATCAATGACCAACTTCTACCTAATTGATATTTTGTCAAATTTATAAAAGTTTGTTGTTTTAATCCAACTCTAAGATATTTCCACTAGATTGAATTGCTGAAAAATGATGACTATTACGAAATGGTCGAACAATTCACAACAAACTAAACTAAACCTACTTTGGAATCATATCACTGACCATATATTATCATTAACTAACAATAATTCCAACATTACAAAAACTTTTTGGAGAAAACAATTGACAAAGATAAATAGATCAAGTACAATGACAGATATAATCCATGTTTGATAGAGAAAAGGTATGCATCCATTTAAGTTGGAAAGCAAGTAATAATAATAATAATAATAATAATAATAATAATAATAATAATAATAATAATAATGGAAAAATACTATAAAATTCTGATTTCATTATTAATTAACGCGTGACCCTGTATAGACACATCACTGACTTATAAAAGGAACATTTGGAGTACATGATAATAGCCAAAATGTCGCCCAAAGTAATTACTTTATGCAATTAAAAATAACATTTTGATTGCCAATGATCAATAAGTGAATGATGACTTTCAGTAAAATCATAATTCTCTTAAGTTACTTGATGTGTCATCACCAATTGCAGAATCTTGGATAATTGAAAAGAGATGACTATTGCAAACGAAAATTAAAATTTTAATCCCATCTTCACTAACCTAGATGAACAAGACTAAGTTTTCAAACTGTTGATAAGATAGAATCCTAACTATTGAATGATCTGATCAGGGTCAGATTGAAATACGTTGATTAGTTCATTTTCAACTAATCAGTGCCATATTTGGTGCCTCCTTGTACCAATATTTATGTGTTCAAATAAATAAAATAATCAGTGCTAATAGACGTATCGAGAATATAATGGGAGATTCTTATGGAAATCCTATGCGAAATCTAAGATTGCTATTACTGTCTTTGTTGTTCTGGTTACTGGGGTATGTACTCAATTATTATTCTGATACGAATAAATTCGAGTGAAGCATAGCATCTAACGATTACAAGACAGCAAAGTAACATAGCAAAACCATCTATGATATTTTATGCTTTATCGGAGACTGAGACTTGTCGGAAACCATGCAGCAGATCAGTGATAATGTCTGGATAGATTGTACGACATAGCGACTTTTTTTCAGGCTTGATAAGAGCATGGCTTTTATTGAAGTCTACAAACAGCCGACTAACTGGTACATGTAAACACATATACAAGAGGAAAAGATTCAAGTCCTCTTGGTTAACATGGTCAGCTTTACCACAGTGAATGGCAATCCTGTCAAAATATAAATTTACTTAAATAATTGTTTAAATTTTATACATGATCCAATAGAATTCAGCTCGTACAAAGCACAGTGTAACCACGTTTTTTACTGTGAGTGGTGAGTATTTTATAAGCTGCAGAGATGATTGAGCTTGGTTTTCCATTTCACTTTTTGAGTCTTCCATTACTTCTCGTCAGCATCATCATAGTAGAGACAAATTTGCTTAGATTGTTAACTTTATTCATTAGAAAACGTTCATACTACTCCACACTTTACTTACTAAAAATATATCCAGCATATTATTGACGGTAACATGAGATGGAATTCCTTTAGGTGATAGCAATTCATGCATACGAATCACTAGTAATCGTTTCATATGTCGGAATGCATCTAAGTCGTTTGGCCATCTTCCAGATTGTTCCAAGTGAATTATAACTTAAAAAGGCAAAAAATGAACCGTTATCGATCTAGAATTTCACTAAGCAGTAACAACCAATAATACAACTCAGTAAATGAGTTATAAATTGTGTTAATTACATAATGCCTGATGAACTAAAGTAGGAAGGGTTGAGTTCGAAATCAGTGAATGGTAATTCTTCCTCAACAGGAGTTTGTTGTGACTTTAAGTCCGGCTAATTATCAAGTGATTTATTCGCCAATCGAAATACGACTTATTCAATCGTAGTATTGTATCAAACCAAAGACGTTCGACCGGTATGCGCAGCTTAACATCTTTATTGATCCTTTGTTTTCCTAGCCCTTCCAGGTCAGTCCGGAAGGTCGATAACCGCTTCCACTATGCGAATCATTTAGTTCAAACATACTTGGCTTATATATCAGCCAAATGGACTGCACCATATCATAAAATAGGGAATAACATTTATAGAATATCAAGCCAAAAAGTGGCTATGAACATGGGAAACTGTAATCAATAAACCGAACATAACTTAAGAACAGTAAATTGTACACTAATAATCTACAGGTCAAAATGAAGCTTATAATAAGAGGAATATAAATATGCACAATTTAATTACTGAATAGTTATACCATAGGAATATATAGATAATATTAGTCCATTAATACGTCTCAGAAGTTACCCGTAGTTCAATCTTCACTAAGATATAACAGAATTGATTTAATTAAATTCTATTGAAACTCTACAGACAATTAAATAAAACACTTTCATAAAAAGCTCATAAAAACAAGAACAATCTACAACTGATCCTGACACTTGGAATGCCGTGATGGAAAAATAAGATTTGAGCGTGTTATGGGTGAAGTTATGTTCTAACTATGTCCATTCACAAAAATGGTAGGTAACAAAAATAATAATCCTTCGAGTACTTTAATTTGGTTGAATGTAAGTGGGAAATAGCTATTTTAACCTAAAAATAATATATGCAGCAAATCAAGTTGACAGCAAAGCTAGTTATTTACCGACAAACCCTCATCCCTATTTCAGAAAAGATTTCGAACGATTACTTACAGCCTGATTGTGTTTTTATAATATAAAATATTCAGTAACCTTGGTTTATCATTTATACGTTTAAGAATTTTCATAATAATGCATTACAACCTGTTACTTCATCCGAATTTGTTTGATAGCCTAAGTGAACATTTATATGCTTTTCATAAACAAAAAAGGATATAAGTCTTTCCACGTCAATACCGAAAGTCGGTTGTTATAAAGGGGAAGAAATGAACCCGATTATAATGCTTGAAGTTTATTACTTTGTAAATATGAAATCCGCCCCCAAATCCCTAGTACGGCTGAGGGTAGGGAGAGTCAACTCTCTCTCGAAATGCTCTCACACGTTCAACCACTGCCAGGGAAGTCCTACTCACTGCCTGCTCGCGGAGGGGATGTTGTTTACGAAATTGAGAGGACAAACAGCGAATGTTCTGTGTTGTAACCGGGTTGGTGGATAAGGAGGGTCCGCCTAGGAGAGTTGGAAAGCCCTCATTCCAAACCAATGCTGAACATGGACTCTAGAATCCTGAAGGAACAAATGGCGTATGAACCAATCGTTGATCACCGGCTACTATGAGACTGCATCTCCTTACGTTGCTCTATTACCTTGTGGATTAGACCCTTAGGTCGAAGGCTCCGGGTGTGGCACCCTAAGAAAACCACGTGCTTCGATCTGGGCACCCGAGCAGTATCACAGCTCATACACAAATCAAGTGACCTGTGTGGCGCATATGTATTCGGTGCCCCTTTGTACCAATATTTGTGTCCAAATAAATAAAGAATATGAAGTCCGAATCCAATAATAATTTACACTTTAATATTTACTCTGTTAAATATTCTGTATATAAGTATGTCATTTCATTGTATATATTCCTAACAAGTTAATCTCTCAAATATTTGTTCATTGTGGGCTTGGGTCATTTATTCGGATTGGTAGATAATCATCACTTAGCCACAATAAAGTCAAGAGATTTGTAACTCACAAGTTTTTATCCGTTAGAAGATTGATTAACTAGTCGACAGTCAGATATTGTAATACTCTGACCCCATGAGTTGCTATCATTATATAGAAAGAAACATTTAATATTACCATTTTCCCTTTATTATTCGACAGAATGTAAGATTTCAGTGGACCACTATGTGAATGCCCGTAACTTAGTAATTTAGTGTTTTTAGTAGATAAGTGTTAAGACAGCATTTCTATTTCTAGCGGATATAACAACCGTATAAAAGGATATTTCAATCGGTATGTTCAGTGATTTATTATGTTCGTATGACTTGATCGGATATCTAGTGAATAAAAATTAAAATAAGCACAGGACTATGTAGTATTACACAAATCCCTGTTATAAAACTAAATGACGCGAAACTACTCACCATACAATGGGAACACAGGAAAACATGCTTTTCTCAATAACCATTTAACCGTTTGAAAATATGACTTTTTTATCCCGTGATGTGACTGGTTAGCCATAGGAAAAGACAATACAGGAGGGAAAACCGAAGTGCCACGAAAAGCTGACGATAAGGGTAAAATCCCCGTAATATTAAGGGGAAGTTTATCATTTAATCCACGTAGTAATGCTCGGAGTTTATCCATTGCTCTAATCAGACGAAGAGGTGAGGCGGCAACTAAGTTGACTTTTCGGTTGCGTCTATGCAAGCTTATAAATGGGTCAAGACGATTAGGCAAAATGTGATACCACGGCTTTGATACGTTAACATTTGAAGATAAATGGAGTTTCCTAGAGCAAAAAATTAGATACAATATATAAAACACAAAAAAGAAGTTAAATAGATAAAGAATTTATTACATGTAGGTGACTGCTAAAATTTCTAGGTTAGCTTATCAGTTTTGTTTTTAACATTTAAATGTAGTTTTAAACACAAAATAACCCTCGTAGGAGCTTAGGTTGACTAAGTGTAAAATTTCAATGCTTCAGTTCCATCGAAACACTATAACATGCCAACACTTTTACTTATTGTTGACTACTGCTTTCGCACTAACCACTGTCGTTTAGCCACTCGAAGTCGAGTACATGTCAATGTACTCGATAAATGGATTACATAAAATGCAAACTACGGTTTGGAGAACCGCATGGTATCATTAACCCTCACATCTAGAGTGCTTCTTATATTCAAGTACCTGGCGAATAAGTTGCTTTACTATTATTCATCTATTTATAATAAAAACAAAGATCAAGCTTTGGATTTAGGACTGAAGATGGATAAAAACTTGTCCAAATAACAGCATCACAAGCACAAAATTAGACAGAGCTGCACTATTAATCTCACACTAGATAGCTGAAAGTAGACAGTGGCCAAATAGGAAGTTGTTTTAGTGAACGCATGAACCAAGATGTGGTCAGTTTAATGCATATACCGTGTATGACTGAACATAGTTCTGTTACAACAGTGAAGTGTTTTATGCAACAGCTTTCTAAACACTTAAATGTTATTTAAGTAGAGTAAGATAAATCGCTCACTAGTGTTTAGGAAACGATAGTGTTACCAGGATTAACAATAAACGACTTAATACAAAAAGCTGCGTGACTTGTGCCAGCCATACTTTATGACTTTCGTAAGCAGACTGATAAGCGAACGAGGTTATCGTAATCAGTGTTTGATACTTTGAGTTACATGGCTCAGAATTCACCCCAACAGACCACGTGCATTCAATATCTTCCTTTATAGCACAGGTTTTAGAATTACCTCGTAATTTTTATTCGGGTACTTGGAAAGCCTAATGTTCCTTACCATCACTAGTAATATTACACTGAAATTCGTCCTGATAATCTTATCTTGATGTATTGATATGGTGTAGCAACCCATGTACATGAATGCCAGTCTACGTTGTTCATGTCTGGTTGACCTAGTATCCCAATGGGATAAGAAACAGTAAGGAAAAATCCGAATAGTTTAAGCCACGAGTGATTTCATTTAACAAATGAAAATGGATTATGGAAGGTGACAACTAGGTGTCAAAGGTTCCCAGATATGAAAGCCTGGAAAGCCAGGACGGTTAGAATTAAAAATGGAAGACGACCAGGAAACAAGCATTTAATATTAAATCAAATCGGGAAAAAGCTTGTTCCCATTCTCACCAAGTCTGTGGGACATATTGCGCAGCAAATCTCAAAAATTCTATGCGAATAACCTAACAGCTCTCAGCCTAAGTTATTACGAGCCGGAAACTTTTAATCGGAAAACATCAAGAAACTTACTCTTCTAGAATAAAATTGACGATCTGCATGCAGACATTAGAATTACCATTCCACACAACACATTCACATAAATCACCATCAACACGTCGAAGTTCAGACTTTTTGCCCCAAAACTGGCGAAATTCATTACCAGCCGGAGTGTTACTTGGAGGACCTTTGGTGAGGATTGCATGAGTGAGCTGTCCAATATATTTGAGTCCTAGGCCATGAAGGTCTTTCTGAAATTACAAAAATGTTCGGAAGTTACTTTGCCTTTTATGCAAACTCTGATGGGACAAACGAGCGATACACGATCTTTCAAAGCTTCAGTTAAAAGTTGGGATACGAGGTTTAGCTTATTTTCGCTTGCTTGGGATCCTAAATCATACCCCTGAACTTCCTTTTCGAGTTTAAACTCGATATAATCAATTTTTCGGAATCTGAAAAGTAAGAACTGATAATAGGAAACGTACATCACCAAATGGTCATAAAAATAGACGCAATCCATGTTGCAAACCTGTACAACACAACTGTTAGATATATCACTATATCTAAATGTACGGACGTATAGTAATCAGACTCAAGCAGCAAAAGTTCAGTGTTGATAATATGTATATTGGCAAAACAAGAAAACAATTAAATCATGCGGATGGTGGTGTCCAAAGGTCACGCCGTTTTGAAACGCACAATTTTGAAAGCCAATAAAAATTGAGGAGTAATTTTCTCGGTGTATTAACAGGTCCAAAGAATTCTTCAGTACTATTTGTTTCTTTAGAACTTTTTGTGTATTAATCGCAACACTGAAATTCTTGGTGCCTTGTCTTAATCTCAGTGTATGTTTGACTTTTTCTATCATCCTACTGAATTTTAAGTCATACAATTCTGAATTTCCTAGAGTCGCACAACATATTGCCTATGATTGGTGCTATCTTAAGAACTTTGTTGACTGGTGTTGCAAAAATGACCTGGGGATAAGCTTGACGTTTTCAGGTCATCTAGGTATATCTTGGTCATTAATTATGCTTGCGTTTTCATTTATTTATTCATTTAATTTCTCAGACCTTGAAATAACTTTTATAACGGGATTATCTGAAGGCATGTCTTTTGGCATGTTGCGGTTTTTCTTCCATCACAATTTACTGCCCAGCACTAGTAACGTCCGTACGATTATGGAGTGGAATTTTCGCCGTAGTAACATTTACATTTCCTATGTGGGTAAATAAAGCGATAGGTTGATAGATGTGCCCCTCATCACAGTTATAATGGTATAAAAGATAATGCCTTACCTCACTTGGGTCGATCGCCAGGTATAAAGTCCAAAACGAGAGTACACTTTGTTCTCACTCATTTCGTACTTGTTGTGAATCAACTTTGCTTTCCATGTATTCATTGCATCGAAACCATGCTTGATCAACTGTTTCTTGAATTATTTCCGCAAAGTTTAGAATTTTCCTTTAATCCGTTTTGTGGCACTCTTTATCTGTTCAATTATCACGCTGGTGGTCATCTTGTTTATTTTGTCGACTTTTTCCCCATACGTTTTCTTGAAATGGTTGGCTATTTTCACAAGTGTGGACAATAAAACTACTTCCTTCCTCTTGAGCGAGGAACGCAATATGATGAGTTCAAAAAGTGGTCCCACAAGATACTCAACTGTTTTAATCCCAAAATATATTCGAAACCTGCATTTCACTGAATTCGCATATTTCGCCTTTCGACTAGAAAATTGCTGATCCAAGAGATAATTAGCATTCTAACGTTTGCCAGCAATATAGATGATGAGGGCTGTACTGATGACATTAGCAGTGACAATGAAGGATTTGCCAGAGTAGTAAGTGCTGTTTTAAGACGAGCCAACCACTCGAGTGCGCAACATACAAAAGAGAAGTCTCTTTTGAAACTAATAAAGAGAGAAATACCACTGGATATTGGTGGCCACAATCCTAAAGTAGTACTTAAAGGCCAAGAAAACACCGTCATCATCCTCAGATGTACCTACTATGTATTCCTGTCTGAATGGAAATGGACACAAAGAAAAGTGAATAACCACAAACAGCGTCCATTTGGTTGATAAACCTTTTGCAGACTCAATCTGGGTCACTGAATACTGCGATAAAGCCCCAAAGTAAGATGAGGCTTAACCGAGTCGCGGTTGGAAAAAGCTTGTTATCATCGAACGTTACTCTGAGAAAGATGTCCGGACCAAACGACGTTGTTCCAAGAAAGCCCCAGGTTTCAACACCTTACAGTAGGGCTGTCTTAACGTTTTCATTGGAAATTTCAACTTTGATGTTGGCTGGTAGTCCGTTTGAGTTCCATGTGTTCCTCAATTGTAGAAGTGCTGCTGTTGCTTTGCCAATCCGTGCCCTTACATCTACATCAGATTCTGCTTCTTTATCGAGTATTGTGCCCAGGTACATGAAAGATTCCACATCTTCCAGAGTATCTCCATTTGATGTGATTGAGTTGGTGTTCTCCGTGTTTTTTTATAATGTTGCTATTCCCGTTGTGCATGTTAAGGCCTACTGATGCAGAGGCTACTGCTACACTGGCTGTCCTAGACGGGGTTTATGGGATAGAGGTTTCAATCATCTAGCTGCATGCGAGCTGTCCATTGTAGACCAGGTTTACCCTGGAGTACAGGGGTCTTCACAACCCAGTGAAGCACGAGATGCCTTGCCTGACACCGGTCCTTGTTTGAACAACATCTGTAGGTTGCCCTTCATGCTTGAATTTGCAGTACGGTTCTCCTTATAAGTTTCGTATGATGTCAACAGTCTTCTCAGGTACTCCGTAGTGGTAAAGAAGGTTCCACAATGCCTGTGCTCGATTGATCCTTACGGAATCTAACCAGTTAATCTCGAAGTTGGGCGTTCACTAAATCTTTCAGTTCGTACAACAACACTTAGTCAAAAGCTTACTTGCACTGATAGTAATATGATGTTTCTGTAGTTATCACTTTCTGTGATCCCCTTTCATTGGTATATCCAATAGGTATCCCTTTTATCAATCCGCCGGCGCTTGTTCTCCCCAGGTCTTTCTGAATAGAATTCAGAACGACTTCGAGTTGACCTTTATGAATGACTTCAGTGATATTCCCGGCGAGTTGTCTGATCTTGTTGTTTTCCCGTCCTTGATTTGTCTGATGATCATGTTGATTTCATCAATTGTTCACCAAGTAACATCCGAGTTAGCATGTTATAGGTTGTCTTAGTAGAATGGCTAACCCAGCATAAAATTGGAAACATGAGTCTGAATGGTGAGCTGGTTACTCTCTTCCGAAAGTGTTCTATCTGGTTTGCGTTGGGTTAAATGTTATATAAAAAAGACAATCGACTGTTGGTTTCTACTCATTTGTTGCTGTTGTATTGCTCTAACGGCAATATCAGATGCATGTTTTGGGTACTAAAAGTTCATAGTTGAATCGATGCAAGAGTAATGCCTGAATGCTGAAGAGATTTTCAGAATTTTCAAACGAGTGAATGGCATCGAGGAATAAACTTAGTTTACGTCAGTGACTGAATAGACAATCAGATGGAGGCCACAGTATAAAGCGATCATTAATAATTGATTCTCAAGTAATAATATGCTACGTGAGTTATACCAGTTCGCGGGCAAGGTAAACGTATTACAAATTATATTGGCTTTTCTTTAATGAGTTAATATATTATGTTGATATGTTATAAAACACAATTTCCACAGAAACAGAGGATAAATATTCACAAACTAAAATAATAATTTTCAACATAAGAGCTGGTGCACTTTACGAAAGTCACGTTGAAACAAGCAATTTGTTGTCGAGGATTAGCACAAGTAAAGTCCAGAGCTGTTCATAACAAGAGTATAGATGGTAAGTGCATAACTAGTCAGTCAGAAATGTTAACCTTGACGTGCGGTATTGTGCTTCTTGGTAGTGTTTCCAGATAAATATTGAAGTCATTGATGATGTTGAATAAAGAAGTTACGTGTTCGATACATGTCTTCCGTAGTTTACCGTGAGGATGCTAAAAAATGAGAGAGAAAAAGGAAAAAGCTACAAGTAGAACAGATAATGTTCATGACTAGCGAAGTTTAGTCATCTGTGACGGAATAATTCAGGGATGACCACTTGAACTTATCCTCTTCTATTAAGTCGATTTCTGAGCAAATATATTTCAGCATGTTAAAGAAAACAAACCAGGGTATGATGTCGAGTGAACAAAGGACTGTATCAACGATGGTGATTTAAAAGTGCTGAAAGTTTAGTATTACGTATATCTTATAAATTTACGAAAACATAGAGTTCGAATATTAACTGTTTTTTTCGTGAAATTTGTTATAGCTCGTCTTCATTGTTATCATTTTTGTAGAGCCAAGAGTGGACTCCTATTTAGCATAATTGTCCAGGTTTACTTGTAGTAGGATCTCCTTGTAGGAAGTGAAACCAAGTCAGAGTTACAGGCATGAATCAAATAGTGTTCGGCGTAACAAATTAGCGCTAACTTCATTGGCTAGTTACATCGCTAGACCATAAGTGGCCATGATTTATCCGAATGTCCTGCCCTACTGACAAGGGTGGATTGAGGTTATCTACCCAACATAATGTTTGCTGGTCACTAACGCCGTCCTCCTTCCCTTTATTTTGTGTAGCATGGAGTTGAGTCGCGGTTGACTATGAACACCACTACAAGAAGACTACGTACCAGTTAACCGATAAAATCCTCCGTAAACCAAACATCAGAAGGTAGTTGATGGCTATAGTCGAGATGTATTAGCTGGCGATCTCATGGTATCGAAAGGATACCGAGATCCAGCCAAAGGAGTACAAGCGTGGTTACCGAGCGCAACTGAATCCGTGCAAGGTCACAATCAATGCAATAGTGATTATATGGCTGTAAAACAATCACTGGTACAGTTGGTTACAATAATAATTGTTTCAACTAAATCAGTCGCGTTCTCTTGGTAAAAGTAGATCACTACATATGTTTGGCTTTCATATGTTTGTACTGTGTATGGAAATTGCTTTGATCTAAGCCCTATGTCGCACACCTTGTTGAAATACACTGTCTCTACTAGTTACAGGTTACAATCTAATCAGGCAGCTAAAATGGGAATAAAAAGACGACAAATGTTAACAAGTTCCAAAATTCGTCATAGGTTTCTAAATGAGTTAGGTAATAAATAATCGATAGTTACTTGAATAGCATCGAGGATTGGTTTGATACATTTCACGGCGACCAAATGACCTAAAAAGACAAGTGAGTGTTCCTAAAAATCACATTTGTCAGGGATTACAGTTTCATTCTTTCAAAAAGTGGGAATGTGCCAAAGTTTTTCATTCTAATCAATTCACTCATGTAAAGAGCAATGCTTAAAAGGTCCAGATGTCTGGGACGTGCGAAGGCTGGAAGTTCCTCATTTTCAGTGTAGTGTCTCACTCCGTTTCAAATTCTTTTACTAAACAGTTGACTGTAAGAAATAACGCAACTGCTGAATTATACATTGACACATAGATTAATAGATGTTTCT